CAGCCTGGCTCAGGCGGGACGGGGTCTGTTCCGCCGGGGAAAGCACAAACCTCCATCAATCCTCGCTCTTCCCGCCGCGGGGGAGAAACGCCGGGCACTCCTGCTGCAGTCCCAGGCGCCCGAGCGCAGCTGTGCCGGCACCTGCTGGCAGGGGAGCTCGGCACTACGGGTACGACCGGAGAGCACAGAGCCACCCCAGAGATCTGCCAGCACGGAAATTCGGCTTCTCCGCGAGAAAAGAGGGAACCCACCACGGAAAGCAAACTCACGGCACTCTCCCCGTAAGGCCAAGGCTAAAACACGAGCCCGCGGGCCACCCCTTCCCCCGCCCAGCCCGTACCTGCGGGGCCCCGGGGCGCGGTGCGACCGCCCGGGGGCTCGGAGCGGGAGTCGGTAGCGGGGAGCGCGGCTGACATGGACACGGCTCGGCGGGGCGGCGGAAACACCCGATAGACGCCGAACCGCGGCTGCTGGCCCGGCGGAAACACCCGACGGGGCGGCGGAAACACCCGAACGGGGGAGCGTGAAGCCGGCAGCAGGGAGGTGGTGGCGCCTTGGTGCTCATCCCTCAGCCTCCCCCCTCGGCAACGCAGCCAATCAGCCCGTAGTTCTGCAGAGCCGCGGGGGCGGGCGGCGTTGCGGGCTGACAGCGCGGGGAGGGGGCGGAAGGGAGAACGGGGCGAGCCTCCGGGAAGTGGCGGTTACCATGGTAACGGGTCCCGAAAGTACGCCTGGCGGCCTGGGGAAGAAGCTGATGGAGCCGCGCCCGGGGCCCGGGGGGCCGAAGCCTGAGCCCGAGCTCCAGGGCGCGGGGGGGCCGCGGTCCACCTGCCCCTTTCTGACCTGGAGTGCCGAGGAGGTGGCGGAGTGGGTGGCGCACCTCGGCTTCCCCCAGTACGAGGTGCGGGGTTGCCCCCGCCCCGAGCGCCGCCTGCACCGGTGGCCCTGAGCTCTGTGTATGTGTGTATGTGCGAGCGGCAGAAGGGGCGGCAGTGGCACAGGGCGACCCGCCTCTCCCTCTGCTCCCGTTCCCAGGAATGCTTCAGGGCCAACGGCATCACTGGCCGCCGCCTCGTCCTCGCCAACTGCTCCAACCTGCCCGCCATGGGCGTCACGGACTTCGGCCACATGCAGGTGCGCCCGTCGGGTCCCGGGGCTCCCCTCAGCACCCCCGGGCCCCCTCGCTGACCCTTACTGCTGGGAAGCAGGCTGGGCCATGGCCTGCCTGCCCAGGCAGATCACTGACTCGAAGAGTGAGCCTGGAACTGGACAACCAAACTTGTTCAGCCAAACAGTCACATTTTTAGAGTCTTTTCAAGTACAGATCTTTAGCTGGCCACAGCCAGGGCAGCAGAAGTACACCAGGAGTGCTTGGCCTTTCTTTAAGCGTGTGTTGCTTCCTTGGCCTGATAAAATTGCTTAGCAAGATGCACACACCTTTATTAGATACCACTCAGAATTTCTGTTTAGTAATTTTCCACTTGTAGAACTTCTGAAAATTTAACCTGCCGCAGTTGAGCCACTGATCTCAAGCAGCAGAAGGGCCACTCATTTTGTTTTGGCCTTGTTTTGGCCATTTTCCTTTCAAAATTGCATATTTTGTTTAACAAACACTGGTTAAGAGCTGACTTTGGGAGTTGTGGTTATAGCCATCCAGAGCTTCCTAAAGTTTAGAAAATCAACAAGTTGACTTAAATTTTGTAACCCTTCTTCCCTTCCCTAATGGAAGCCTCAGAGGGACTCGGGGCTGCATTTACAGAGCCATATTGTCTGGTTTTTTGTCATAATTTGATGTTACTTTCCCCAGAAGACACAGGTAGAAGTTTAAATAACCTGGAAGAGAGAAAAGTCTTTATGCTCCAATGACTAGAGTATTAGCACAGTTTGATTTATTCTTGAGCACCACAATGCTATTTCACCACCGTTATGCATGGCTGCACAATCTTTGAAACAATATATGCCACCAAAAACACTGACTAGTGCCATGAGTTTGCCTGCTGCTTTGAGAGGAAGGCATCAATTTACAACACTTAGTTTTTCAGACAACAGCCCTTCAACAATATTTCAGGTACAAGCAGATAGAGCCTTTATCAAAGGTGGCAAGAACTTTATAGCCTTTGTAAGCCTCACCCTCGTATTGGGATATAGGGATTGTGTATGGTGGTAATGCAACTATTGAGAAATACTTAGCCGTGGGTTAAAGATACGAGCTGTAACCTTCCTCCTGTAGGAACTGAAATTCCTCAGAATAAGTGATAGCCATCATAGCACAGCAAACTTGGAAATGAGACTCTGTAATGTTTTCCAAAGCTTGCAAGTAAACTGAGAACATCTCAGAGACTTCAGTGGAACCTAGGTGTTCTTGAAGGTCATGCCTTATCCTGCTAGTTATTTGTGTTTTAAAGAACTTTTCTGTGGTGGAATCCAAGCGTGCAGAGCTCTGCAGGACATGGCCCTGTGAATCTTTCAGGGAGTGTGCATTAGAGCAGGTGAAATGTTAAGGCCACCACTTCCCAATAAGAAATATAAACTAAAGGGTGTGAGCAGTTGAAACGGATACAGTTACTATAGAAATAAAAGTGATAGCATCAGCTCAGTGAGACAGAAACTGTCCGCAGTTTAGGGGAAATGGCAATTTGGTAGAGAACTACACAGCTAATCAGGTGTAAACTATGCAGCATGAACAAGTGACTTTACTGCTAGTTTTAATCCCACTGCATTGGTATTTTATATATCAAAACCACTGAAGATACCAGTCTGATGTTCTTTTGTTATCACAGAAACTAGGGTATTACTCCTCAGAGTCAAGCCCAAGTTGGGAGAATATTTTGAGCAAATACTGTGAAAAACAGTAAAACCTTGAGAATTGTATTTTGAAGCTTCAGTCAAATCAGATGGTTACATTCTCAGAAGCGACTTCAAAAATAATGGCAAGGCTCTGTTCACTGACAGTTCCAGCTCTAGCTGGCTCAGACAGCCAGTCACTCATCCTTTTCTTAATGAGCAATATGAGTAACTGCTAATTAGTTTTTACTCTTGTGTTTAGACTCTGTTGTTGACATTATAACTTAACAAACAGCAATGATTTTGAAATAAGCAGGAGAGATTGCACCTCTTTCACCTGTAACTTGTTTGTTCTTCAAGTGCAAAGAGGAAAGTGGAGCTACTTATGCCACTAAGAGACCAGATGTGATGTCATCCCCCACAGTAAATCTGAAGAGTAAGGGATCTGCTCTGCTTTTACAATGTCATATGGGGCTTATGGGTTCAGATCCCTCTTGTGTTAAAAGTTTGTGTGAAACTGTTCCAAAATTAAGAAATTCAATTCTTTTTCCTACTGCTCTGACACAGAACGGATAGTTTTAGCTGTTGCCCTGTGAAATGAGAATTTGTGGTATTGTATCTTGTATTTCAGGAAATTTCACGACATGTGCGGGAGTTGCTGGGGATTGAGGAGCCTCTCTTCAGCAGATCCATTGCCCTCCCATACAGAGACAACATGGGTCTCTTCCTAGAGAGAAAGTCCCGAACAGGAAAGAAAGCAGATGCCCTCACTTTCACAGAGTTTATTGAAAAAGCAGGACTGGAGCCCTATACTACAGTTCCTCCTTTGCCACAATCCCAGACCACAATGGAAGCGGATACAGTTCCTTATTTGGAAGGATCCCAGATCGGGGTGGAAGCGGATGCTCTCCATGTCTCACAGGACATGCGGAGGCAGAATTAGAGACTCAGGCTGCACTCCCGCCTTGTAAGAAGCCCAGCAGCAACAGCAGACTAGACCCTTTTTATCTTGCAGATTGTCCAAGAAGTGCAGTTCCACCTTTTCCCAATTATAGAAAAGGCCGCTGCAGCTCTTAGACATTGGATTAGACCAAACATATCCCCACGTTGTCTCTTTCCTGCAATCCTTTGTTTGCTTACAGGAGCCAAGTGAAGCAGAAGCTGGAGGTCAGACCATACTACTGTCTATCTTTCACTTCTGCTTCACGGTTGATTAAAAAGACAAAAAACCAATCATCTGCATATTTTAACCACAGGTGATTGATGACAACTTGCCAGATGCTCAAGTGAATAGATTTCTCCCAGTCTTTAGAGCCTGCAGACTTTGAAGCCCAGGTGTAAGATAAATGGCACATACAATAACAGGCGTAACAGGTATGGCTACAGCTGCTGTCAGCCATCATAATTAAGTGAGTTGTTGCCATGTGCACAACTAATCCCTGGCCTCACCACAGAAGTTATTTCCTGTGAGGCAAAACTGGGCAGGCAGTGTCTTATCATGGTAAATGGTACTAAAACACGATAGATGGTGGCAGGAAGAATGAGAGAAGACTGTAAGCTCAACCAGAGAATTTAGGGAATCAGGCTTGCTTTTTCCTGGGTGGATTTGGATAGAATAACCAGCTACCTCCTTTTTGCTTGAAGGATATATCACATAGTCTGTGGTGGTGAGGGTGGAGTGCATTATTAGCAGCAAGGAAGTAGAAGTAAGTGCTGATTAAAGCCTGGCTCAAGAGAAAGAGTGCTCCTGACTAAATTAGTATGTTGCCAGGATTCAATGGCTTTATTGAGATTCCCCATGGGGATTAAAAAAATGAAAGGACAAAAAAAGACTGGGCCTGATCCTGTTTAGTTTGTTACATCAAAGCAGTAGTCACTACAAAATATATGTAATTTTTTCTGTAATTCAGTTTTCTGTTGAAGCTGCAACAGAAACAGTGAAACTGAAGCAGTTCATAGGCCAAGACGACTATGTAATAAGCAAATTGAGACAAAAAAAGAGAAAAGCTCAGGCAGCCAGGGGTAGGTGGGTTTGTTGAAGAGCCTACAGAGTGAAACATGTAGAAGAAGATGTGTACATAGAGTTGCTAGCCGGAATAGTTTAAAAAGTCTGAGAATGAACAGTGCTGGTTCTCGCATCCCTTAGTCCCATGAGCTGAGATACCCCTGTGATGAGATCTCAGCAAAGCATTCTGCATGGGCATCATTATGGTTTATTAGAATTTAGAATCATACTCAGCAGTTTCCTCTGGAATTCCTGAGAAAATGTTGGAAGCAGCTGTGGAGCATGAAGACTTATCATCCAGTATCACACCAGGCTCCACTACAGCTGATTAGTGCTGATTACCCACACTGCTTTGTAGACCAGTCTCCAGAGGATGCCTGGTATAGTAAAGCAGCAGGCATGGGGATAGCACTGGACAAGCTCTCTCTATTCTAGCAGCTGGCTAAAGAGAGACTTACTCATTGGTACAGCTGTCAAGTCAAACCAGGGGAAAGTTCTGGGAAGAGAAAGCAAAAACATTTGCGGGCAACCACAGTCCAAAGCGGCTTGCTAATAAGGTGACAAATAATGGTTTTTGTCAATGTCTGACTGCTAGATTCTTCCTTGGGCCTTTGAGAAACAATCAGACTCAAAGACTTGAATATAAAATGTTCCAGGCATTACTCTGCCAAGTGGAGCAAAACTGAGCCTAATGGCTCGAGAACAATCCTGCAGAAGCAGGAGTCCTTTCCCTCAAGCAGTGTTCCTCTGTCTAAACATCCTAGTTAATGAACTGCCATAAGTTCATTACCTTTAAGAACTGTCCTCTCTAGATATTCCCATAGGAATTTTTTTTTCTTCATCCAGTGCCCCAGTCTTGCTCATTGGCTTCAGACAACCCTGATAAGTAACCAAATAGGAACCAGGGACAAAATAACTCAGTCTAGGTCTTTTATCACTAATGCATCATCTAGGGCAATCTTCCCTGGCAGGTATGTGGTCCTAAGGGCAACACAGAGTTCAGCACCTTCCAACCCAAGAAGACAGCCCATGTTTTAGCTGTGGGATGAGGCAAGTTTCAGAGCTAAGAGGAAGCCTGGACAAGCAGTACCTCAGCATTCAATCATTTGCTTTTTCCTCTGGAGTCATTGAAGAGGCAAAACCTTTGCTGACAAAACTCTTGTACGCAAACTTGGACAAGAAGTTTTCTGCTCTGCCCAGATTCAGGAAAACTGAGGTCATTGAGTAGTTTCAGTGCCTTCTGGTGAGGCAGTTTCTGCCACGTGCTGCTGTTCAGGGCTGTGTAGAAAATGGCCACCAGCTATTTGGCATTGATTTTTATTTTCCTTGAAAGATGAATAAAATAGAATGTCAGTTACCAGTGAAGTTCCGGAGGAGAGGGATGGAGATGTCAAAGCTGTACACAATGCAGGGTTCCTGGATGACAGGAAAAATGACAGAACAGATGGACGGGAGGCAGCAGAGGAATGCAGTGTCCACCCAGGACACCAGCTGAGCATTGTTGTAAAAGCATGTGAGCCTCTGCTTTTACAGGTCTGCTGAGATAAGCAAGGAGAAAGGGACTCGAGCCCACAGAGAGAGCAGAGGTGACCAACCAGCACTTCTGGGCACTGGAAGCACAATTACCTGTGCTCTGCCACATGCAGGTGAAACACAAACCACTGCTCCCACATTGGGACCGCTGTCTGCCTGCCCTAAGTGGCACAGAGGGATTTTGGTGGCTGCCTATCACTGTTCCTACGTGGCAAAGGGTAGCAGCGGAATGACACAAAACAGGCAGCCTCTCTGCCAGGCATAAGCATGCACAGAGCTCAGCTTCCTGGCCTGGTTCATGTGGGCTGAATTAAAGCTGAAACAGCCAAGCCTTGGGATCTAGCTAGTTTTCAAGATCTATAAAAAGCTATTTAATAATCCCTGTTTCCTATCTGCCCTGAAACGATTAGAAAGATTTTATTCCAAGCATCTCCCTGGAGGCCCATTCTTCCCACTTGTCTTTTTTTTATCTAAGAGTTTGTGGGGCAGATGGCAGCGTGTGTGGAAGCAGTTGCAGTGCTGCAGGCCGATCTCCTCTCCTGGCTGGGCCTCCATAGCCCAGCGAGAAGCTTGTCTGTTACAAATGACCCTGCAGCTATGAAACAAGGAGAGCGATATTGCTGTTTCAGCGCTGCCACCCCGTGGGGGAGACAGTTTCTGCTAGGTGAATATTTAACAACCTGGAGACTCAGTCGCTGACCAAGTTCTTAGTAAATGACAAGGAGAATTTTGAAAAGCCACAGGAGTGGACTAAATTAAAATAGCCAGCATTCAAAGGACAAGGTTAATGTGTCCACCACCCTCAGCTGGGACTAGTAAAAAAAAGCAAACAACTAAATTGATGTTTGGTAGACAGTGGGTTCTGCTGGAAGTGCTGTGAGAAAAGTGCACTTAAAAGTGCCTATAAGTGCAGTCCCACTTCCAGGCCCGGGCTGGGGAACACTTACCCAGGCTCTCAGGACACCTGGTGGAAACATGGACACTGGGGCACAGAGCTCAGCTCAGCATCAGGAGCACTTCATGCTTGGAGAATACAGGTGTGAAAATTCATAGCTTTATCAGATGCCTACAAGGCTATGTTCAACTTCTCCTGTTGCTCCCTGATATAAATCCCAACCAGTGACGCCATTCCAACTCCTACAACCAGGCAATGTCCTAGACTGGAGCATTGTGAGAGCGTGGCAGCATTCCTCAGCCTAATCTACAACATCCTAGGTTGTCTTAGGGCGAATGTTGCCAGCAGGCTAAGGACGGTAATCCTTGCTTTCTAAATCCAGACTGCCATGTCCAGTTATGGGCTTCTCTGTACAGAAGAGACATGGAAATACTGGACAGAGTCCAGCAAAGGTCCACTAAAATGACTACGGAATTGGAGGATCTCTCATATGAGGAGAGGCCAAGATCGAGGGCTTCTGAATCTGGAGAAAGACGCAGTCCTGGTCTGCCTGTTCCAGGTGACCTTGCTAAAGCAGGACTGGACTAGATGATCAAGAGGTCCCTTCCAACCCAAACAATTCTGTAAGGAAAAAAGCATACACCAACAGAAAAAAATGAGAGTGCGCAGTGCAGCGGGGAAGCTGGAATCCAAACCTACCCTCGTGGGTTTTTTACCCCCCTGCAGCAGCAAACTCTCCTACAACATTAAAATTATTTCATCTGTGATGATGGCATTAAAAGTGTGAAATAAGGTAATGCCGAAAGCAAAGCCACTCCATGGTGACATGCACTGTGCTTTTCAGAACATGAGAAAACACCCTGCATATTCACTTTGTGGGATATTGCTTAGGTTTAGCACATAAGGGTAACAATGTGCTTGGTCGGGGAAGGAAACAAACAGCCCAAGGAGAAAGAAACAGCTTTATTTTAAAAGTGAGGTCTTGAAGGATGAAGCCAGCAGTTGCCTGAGGAGTTGTGTTTCTGAGAAAGTGCAGTTCAATCCTTCCTGGCATAACACTCTCAGAGAAAAGAGCTGCTGGTGCCAGCAGGTTTATGTCAACTGAAAGGGGTCCTTGATTGCTCTC